TAATTTCTTAATTTTAATTGAATAATAATTAAATATATATTTAAATAGTTTAAAATTTTAAATTATTTTATTTTAATAAAATAATATTTTATTCTTCATAGCACAACTTTTTCTCATAATTATTGAAACAACCACCCTTAAACTTTTTCTACTGTTCAATGAAAATAAATGAAGAGACAACAAAAAGCTATACATCAAAAAAAGCTTTAAGGAACAATTGCTTTAGCTTTTTTACTTGCTTTGTGATAACATAAAGTTGTTGCAACTTGCAAATCAGACCCATCTTATTTGGACAAAAATTTCTCATATATATTAAATTCTATGGTATATATGAAAATTATCAAATTGCTAAGCTATTTTTCAAAAAATATTTTTTGAGAAAAGCTGTTATTATAAGAAATTTTCAAGAAAAAAAATGAAGAGCAATAACTCACAAAATCTCCCATTGGGTCCTTTTGCTATTAGAAAATAGCATTGAAATTATTTGATAAAAGAACTTAGTTTCTAAAAAAGAGAGAATCAACCAATAAGCCTTTATGATTCTACCAACAAAATGATGACATTTTGGAAAAATGTAGACAAAGTTTTGGATAGCTTCAGCATTTAATGATGATATTTTGATTCTTAGGACAAAAGACCCTTTACTATCTATAATTACACAAACAATTAAGAGCAATTACCAAGAGATAATAATTGCACATAAAAATTACAATCCTAGCTTTATATAAACTATCATATTGTAGCTACAGAAATACTGGTAATCTTACTTTATCACAGGCAATACTCAATAACACGAGAAATTATTACGTGTGGATTATGGACGCAAGCTAAAATAGGCTACGTCAACCTGTACATACACTGCAACAATTTGTACGTAATCTTTATATAAATTGTATATGATGTACAGATGATGTGGCTCCAGTACAAAATAAGATTAGAGAGAGGCGCCTTAGATGGTTTGGCCACGTAAAACGACAGCCTTCGGATGACCCGGTTACGAAAGTAGAGGTATTAGATTTGACTTATATTAAGAACGGTAGAGGTAGACCTAAAAAGACTTGGTTAGAAAATATTATAAATGATATTTCTTTATTAGATTTAAGCGAGAATTTGATTTTTAACAGGACACAATGGAGAAAAAAGATTCATGTAGTTGACCCCACGTAGTGGGATACAGGCTTGATGTTGTTGTTGTTGTTGTTGTTGTTGTGGTAGTGTTACGGATGATGTGGCTTATTTTAATTGAAGTTCGGACGCTGTTCGGACTCTGCACGTAATAATTTCTCCAATAACACAAAGGAATAACCCTTAAAGCTACAGAAAACAGCACCACAACAACTGCTGTTTTGTGTAAATGTGTTGCTGTGGAATTGAGCTGTGAAGTTGATTCGAGGATTGAAGATCATTGGAAATTTTGATCAATTTTTCATTCAAATTGGATTTAGATCGAAATCAAATAGCTCACTAACAGCACGCATGGCCTTGATCAAATCAAATTAGCGCGATATTAGATTGAATAATCTATTTGTTGAAGAATGAGACATAGAATAAATGAAAAAAACAAACTAAGATGCCAAAAACACTTATAGAATGATTTAGATTGCAGTTATGGTTCCACATCATTTCTCATAAATTTCAATTCCCTGAAAATGAAATATGTTGCAGAACCAAAAATTTTATCCAGATTCAGACATCATTGCTTAATGAAGGGCATATATCAGTATATGGAACTCACATCTATATCAATTCTAGAGAGATTTAAGTATTCTTACCTTTGCAACATAGCTCTTACCTTTGCAACATAGCTCTGCATTGGGTATCTATACCCACACCCACCCAAGTGGCCACCCATACCCTTATGCGTAGATATGGGTACGCCCATGGCCTAGTGGGTGGGTAATGGTGGGTACTCAACATCGGGACATAAATCGATTTACATTACTAATGACTATATATCTTATATTACTGCTATCCTCACTATATGGTATGCAACACTTAACCACACAGCGACTATGATAAATTCTGATATGCGGCTTGAAAGTTTGCAATTAGAGCAAAGGACGACAAGCCTCAAGGCTAACAGTCCGTGGCAGACTGCGTTCAAAAAGCATGGGAGTGGTGGGTATAGGTGGATACGACATCCCGAAAGTCACCTTGGATGGGCGTGGGTGGGCGAAGCCCGTCCGAATAAAGCATGGGTATCCAATGGGTACCCAACCAGGATCCCATATAAGGCTTTGCTTTGCAATGCAAAAAAAAAAAATGAAGAAGAAGAAAGGTTAGTATTAAAATCTAAGAACAAAAATAATGAAGCAAATATACTTAAAAGCAAACAATTAGATCAATTTGTTTCAAAACAAGCATTTGAAGGAAAAAATTTTGAGAATACTTTTAAAAGTGGATTTTATAGGTATTTCACGGATGTTTGTTTGTACAAACTCAATTTTTGTGAGCTCAATTCAGGCCGAGTCAAGCATTAATATTGTATACTCACATATACTTTCATTGGTGCCTTATAGATAGTTGATCGATCACAATGAAGGAATTCACCCCTAATAGGGCCCATAAGGGAACTCACCCAATGTTCAAAAGAGAGCTACTTGCCTGGAATGCACAAAATAACTCGCCCAAATGATCAAAATGCATTACTCAAACGGGCCTACCAAGTGAGGTCATCCCTCGAGGGAGATGCGCAATTCAAGCTTCTCACCAAGCAAGTAACTCGGCACCCGACGTATGAAAAGATAGGCGCCATGATCACTTGCTCTCTCCAGAGCAGGCATCCTACCTCATATATATTAGCCTCAACTACAGGAAAGCGCCTACTCATAGGGCCTTCAGCTCGTCTTTCTATGATCATCCTACCTAGATCTCTCCTTTCCCGCAACAACAACTCACTCGCCTCACCTTTTTAAGGTAGTTTGAGGCCTTCAATACAAGTCACAGGTAATCTTAGCCAACCCGCTAGTCTCAGGTTCCTTCATCTCAGCACTCGCCTATGGACTCATCCAAGTATACTCGCTTGAACATATTCAAAACTCGCCCTAGGGTCATATTGTTGAAGGCCATTCAGCATTGCCCTCTCCAACCAATCATGAGGCAATATGTGTCTAGGACATTTTGTATTGAGAGTCATTTACGTTAATGCATTTTTATTCTCTTAATGTAGCACCTGGATCCCTATAAATGAGGCGTGAAAAATGAACTGTCTTATCATTTAGATCTTTTGCATCTTTTGTATATTTTAACAATTGAGTGAGATTTTGAATCCCCTTGAGCATTTCACTACAGATTTTCTCCACTATATTGCTTTCTCTCTATATTCTTACACAAGTTCCAAGTCACTCATCATAGAGTTTGACTGCTAGTAAGGTCGGCTGTCATTCATGGATAAATTTGGATCCAACAAAAACCTAATCATAATATGTGGGATTCACAGTTTAAGAGTTAATAGAAGATGAAAGCGTTAAGTTCACAAACCTGTGGGCAGTCACTTTACCTTATTCTCGAGATCTTTACTTAACAATACAAAAAAAGCAATAGAAAGATCATAGGAAGTATTGCTAGGGCACTAAGACAACAGTTCAGAAAGGTTTGTGTTAGGGCATTCCAAAAAGGTAGAGTGGAGAAGAAGAAAATTTGAGGGTAGACCCAGAAAGGTTTGTGTTAGGGCATTCCAAAACAATCGAAATTGAATTGATCTAAGCTAGAATCAAATCAAGCTAGCTCAATATTAAGATACGTATTTAGATTTGTATTTAAATTTGAATAAATTTATACATGCAGAGTTTGTGCATTTATTAATGTCTGTATGTATGAGAGACTAAGAACTTATCTCAATAGATCATTACATAATTTTATGAATTTTTATATTATATTATATTTGGAATTTTGAATGCAAAATAAATGAAAAAATTACAGTAATTGATTAATATGATCTTCTTATAAATAGTTATATAGATATTTGTTTTAGATAAAAAGTTTATAAGTTAAATAGCATCTCACATATATTTTATTAATCTTGATTAAAGCTTGAGCTTGAGAAATAAATAAATAAACAAATAAGCTTTAATTTCATCTTAATACTCCACTTTTATTAAGAAAATAAATAAAGAAGCTTGAACATAGAGTTGTTTGGCTTAACTCATTAACCACCCCAAAAGCTAGCGTGAATTGGATGATTAAAAAATTTTGAAAATTTTCCTTGGTTCTTCCCTCTTCATAAAGATGCCAGGACCTAATGCAGAACATAGATCAACTATTGAGATAGTGTTGGGAAGATGAGGAGTAAACACTACAATGACGAAAACAAGAAAGAAAGTAAAAGCAGTTGAAAAGTAATGGACACTAGGATTTAACATGGAAAAATCCAAAATAAGGAAAAAAATCACTGAGCCACACCACACCAAGAAACCCACTGCGAAAATTAGGAGAAATAAGTACAGATCTCTCTTCTCTCTCACTCTCTCCTTGCTTCTCTTCTCACATGCATCATTCTCAATGTCTACACTCACAAAATACAAGAAAAAACCAAGTAAAATAATCCCAAGGGACGCAACCCTTCAAAAAACGAGAAAGAAAAGCATTTAGTTCGTCTCACAGCTTTGCGGCGCCAGTTTGAGATACTGCGGCGCCCAAGCCTCTATCTTGCACCGCTGTAGCGTCATATTTATACCGTTGCGGAGCTCTGCTCTTTGTAGCTCAACGCTAGGCGCTCTGGAACACAACACCAGGGCGCTCAGGTATGCACATTGGGGTGTTGTATGGAAAAAAATATTTGGGTGCAAAGTAGGGGGTAAACCTCCAAGTGAACATGACAAGCTTTGAGGTCTAAGACAACGAAATAATCAGATTGGTCAATACAATCAGATTCCTAGCTCCACGATGGTTCACTTCTCATTTCTCAATTATTCAATTCCCAATTGTTTTCCTTTTCCCCCATCAGTTCTTTTAAAAAGCTTTCAAGTTATCTCAATTAGAATAGCTTCATTAAAGGATGGCAAACTAAATGTCACAAACTTTGCTAGAACATTTGGTAGACAGAAATGCTAGCGAATCCGATGTTCATAAGCCAAAAGAATAAGAAAATTAGCCTTGGATTGAAATTCCCATTATTGAAATACTTAAAAACTAAGTTAAATGCCACTCATTTTTCAGATTGTTCCTAATGGGACTCAAAAGCATTATTTTTTTGCAAAAGAGGTTTTTTTTTTAATAAAATTTTGTAGTTTTCTTATGCACGTAGCATGATTTGGCATTTATCACATTATTTTGACCATTAATTTAGTTAATTCATGCAAGCAATAAAAAGACTGAAAGCAATCAGCATTTTTTGTGCATAAGTTTCTGTTCATTGCATGATTTAATGAGAAACAAGTGAAAAAAAGAGAAGTTGATGAAGAAAGAATGACAAATTTAAGAAAAAGAGAGGAACTAATACTTGTAGGTTTTTTTAATAACCCTGTAGTTTAATCGTTGAATTCTAGTATTTTTAAATATATTTTTAATAATTCTTATTGAAAGACCCTAAACCCTAAACTGAAGAGCTAAATTGTAAATAACTCATATTTGGCTTATTGGCACATCGAACCTAGCGCAAGGTCATTTTTTAAGTGGTTCATAAGTATACTCAACTAATTACAACCCTGAATATAGAGAAATTATTCTGTGCGGAGGCCGGACATAGAACATCATCCAAAGATCAACCAGAATGTACCATGTCAAGGTATCGACCTGCGGTACCGAGTAGTATCGAGCCGCGGTACTGAGTGAAGAGGTGACGTGGTACATTCTGGTTGGTCTCCAGAAAGCATTCGGCGTCCGCACAGAATAATTAATCCTAAATAAATAGCATGCATCTAAGCAAGAAAAGCTTTGTTCAGTAGATATATAAATGAGCATAATACTGGTTGAAGAACTGTTACAAGGTTTTCAACAAGTTCAGCTACACAATATAAGAAGTTAAAGAAAGTTTCTACACAGGATATGTACAGGAGCTATGCTTGGAACATACTTATAGATCAACCCATGGATAATGTTGTCTGAGCCTCTAAGGAAGTGCATTCTTGTCAGGGCCCAATGCGCATGGCAAATAAGTTGTTTAGAAAATCAGGAAGCTTCTAGAGATTGTGTAAATGATGAAGTTCATCTTAGAGATAATGAAAGACATGTTTGTCAGATTGAAGCCATAAATCTAGCCCTAAATTAACAAGCAATTTACTGCAAGAATCATCAGATGATCAAGAATTAATGAGCAACATCACCCATGTCTACAGACAGCAAAATCCTATAAACATCAATGTTAACAACCAAATTTCTGAATCAGTAGGATATACACAGCTTATGTATTGTCACATTGTACCAAGAGAAAATTATGCTAAAGCATAGGAAGGGGAAGTTTAAATAGGATCAAGCTGTACTGCTTCACTTGTTTGTCAGGTACCTAGTTTTCAGACAGCTAGAAACATTTTGCCTCGCTTGTCAAAGGAAATTTAGGGCTGAAGAAACATATACTATGATGGGGACATCAGCAGCGATTTCGATACATGTACCTTCAGGAGATGCCGGAGATCGACGACCACGATCATGATTTGTATTTTCATCATTTTATGTAGTAGTTTATTTTTATTTTATGTTTTTCCGTTTTTGCCCTGGGATATTTGTGGAAAACCATTCATGTACGCAACATTAGATTGTCTTGATTGTTATATGATCTTAACTCTTACCCGTGTGATTCAACCGTAAGCTCGTTTTTCCGTTCTTAATGTTTTATCTCGTCGTTCAAATTATTATAAAGATATAATTATTTGTTCTATCTAAAATTAAGCGTGCAAGCTTTCTTTATGAAACTCATCATCGCATGTACGTTCCACATCATACTATTTTCAGCATTAGTTATATAACACTAAATACAAAGAAACAGACATAGAAATGACTATAGGAGGTGCCTTTGCACCTAATTGATATAAGTTTAAGAATCGGACAAAGAAAAACATTATTGAAATTAAAAAAAAAAATCAAGAGAAACAAGGGATTTGGACCAAAACAAAAACTTTGAATAGCAGTGCAAATTTAGGATAACTAAAACAAAATTAGAAGGATAGAAAATCATTCCCATTAAGCAAAGAAACAGCAGAGTTTGCTCCATGAGGTTGAAAAGAACCCATCCTTTCATCTAATATAGCCAACTGACTCTTCACCCAAGATGGGTTGTTCTTGCCTTCAATCCATAAAGCTTCACCAGTGTGCTTGTGCTTAAAATCTGGGTACCTGGAATTCCTCTGCACGAAGGAGAAACCATTCAATACTCTCTCAATATGAATTGACCAGCAATAATTGCTAAGTTGAGTTCAAGGAGGGAAAAAGAGAACCTTATTCTTTCTATTGTCCCACCAGTCAACAGGATTAGCAAAGAAAGCTTGCCAGAGCTCCTCTGCTGAAGCTGAAGCAAAATTGTTGCCGGAATAATTTTCATTCTTCAGACCTGTATTCCTAGACAATTAAAATAAATAAATAGTTCCAAAACATTAATTAGAATAATGAAAACAAGTACCAGAATCCATGGACTCAGTGCCCTGTTCATACAATGAAACTGGTGGGATGCTCCTCTCAATAAAATTTAGCTGCTGAACCACAACCTACAAGGAAAATACAAAAATTAGCCAAAAAATAGAGAAAATGAATCACCAAGGAAAATCAAAGACCAATCAAGTATTTAAAATTTTAAATAACATTGTCACTTTCATGACAATAGATCGCTGGAATGCATAGTACATGACATGTTAAGTGGGTGCTTGGCATGGTGGCAAGTTTGGCATGTTTGGAAAGACCAAATATCTTGTTGGAAAAAACTTGGATGAGGATTTCCTAAGCTAAACTAACTAAAGAATAAAACATTTCTTGTTAAATTGCAAGATAATTTTATAGAATTGCAAGACATCTCCTATTCTATAAGAAAACAATCAAGCCAGTTAGAGATAGTTTTGTTAGACATAAAGTATTATGAGATTAACTTGTTAAATAAGATCAGTTACCTTGCGTTCACAAATGAATTTCATGTATCTTAAGCTAGATTTAGCTAAAGATATCCTGATCATTTTTTTTCCCCTCTGTGATATCTTAAGCTAGATTTAACGAAAAATGCACCAAAATCACACCTTGTAGAAAACCAAACGCTTATCGTTTTCCCCCTCTGTGGTATCTGATACCAGACGGCCTGAAACATACACCTGATTGCCCTTCTCAACATGTTGAAAGGCCACATGAGCCAGCTCATCCCAGAAGGTCAGATTGATCCTGCAATGTCTCCCAAAAAAAAAAAATTTAATTTACACAGGAATTTCGTCGATTAACTGAACTGCGTCGCTTTACATCCCGTAAAAGGTGCCATTTTAATGGACGCATTGATCTAAAGAAAGAAATTTACTGTTATCCCATCATCTTCTCCATTTACCACGAAGTCTCGGAGGACGACTTCTTGAACGCGAGGCGAGTCCAAGCTAGGACCTTGCCACTGCTGAGTTGCTTTATTTGGACCGAGGTACCGATGGTTCCAATGAGGTTGACAGAGTTAGCAATATCCTTTCTCCATGGGATCTCTGGCGGCCGGACATGCGAGCTTCGCTCGTGATGGTAATCTCCGTTTCCGGAGCCGACAAAGCGTGGCGGTTGAAGAGAGACGGCGCCGGTAGGCCTTCGACTGTAGGAGGAGCGATGTAGAAAAGAAGAGCTATGGTTAGAGTCATGTCCTTTTAGCCGTGGTGAAGGAAAGGAGAGATTGTGGAAAGGAGATTTGAATTGAGAGAGCGTGGGTAGCGCCATTTGGGCTGCCGAGGGCTTCGGCAGGTGGTAGTCGGAGAGAGGCTTGAGTGGCCTTGCGAGCTCCACTAGCCTTTGAGCTCTAATGATATATTTACATGTAAATTTTTATTTTTATTTTTATTTTTTATCACAATTATTTTTTTAAATTACATTAAATATATTACTGATACAAAATATTTAAAATTAAATAAAACTTTTTCTAATTATTTTCTTATGATAGTATTGATTGATCATGAATTATTTAGTTTATTGATTAAAAAAATCAATTTATAAATTTAGCTTTTAAAATTAATTTATAAGTTGATCATGAATCAAGTGGAAGTCAATAATTTTTAGGATTGATGTGGACTAGAATATACGCGGCGGTAGAGTAAAAAATATAACGTCTTAATAATATACGTATATCCAGCACACCAACAGATAATTAAGGGAGAGAAAACACCAGAAACTTTTTTACGTGGAAAACCCGAAAAGGGAAAAACCACGAGGCCTGGCCCAGATGAGAAAATTCCACTATATCTGGATTGGTTACAACGTTTGATTCGCTCCTTTACTTGGAGATGTTAGAATTACAGCAAGTTAATAACCGACAAAAATCTGATGATGATTGATGGACCGACAAAAATAAGGCAGTGGTTGGGAAAAGCTTCAGCGACAGTCAGTAGAAAAACTCAGGCGATGGTTGGCAGGAAACCTGGCGGTGGTCGGTAAGAAACCCGGCGGTGTTTGGCAGGAACTCCAGTGGAGGTTGGCAGGAAACCCGGCAGTGGTTAGCAGGAACCTCGGCTGTGGTCGGGAGGAACTCCGACGGTGGTTGGCAGGAAACCCGGCGGTGGTTGGCAGGAACTCCGACGGTGGTCGGCAGGAAACCCGACGGTGGTTGGCAGGAACTCCGGCGGTGGTCGGCAGGAAACCCGACGGTGGTCGACAGGAAACCCGGCGGTGGTCGGTGGCAGGAGAGCTCCCAAATTTCTCACTTCCTTCTCCTCTTTTCTCCCTTTCATGAGAAGAGTGGGGGGCTATTTATAGTTTTTTTAGAGTGGCATGGCTTGTAAATATATGAAGGATCAAGGGTAAGTTGGGAGTGGTTAGATGGACGACCGATGATGAATCCTTTGATCATGAACCGTTTGATGGACATTTTAATGTCTTAGTGATGTCTGAATTCAGTGATCTTGGGCTCGTTGGATTCGTCTCATTGAGCCGCTCGATTCGACTATAAGCTTGTTATGTTTGGAAACTGTTTGGTAATCCAAATTGTGGTTTGAACCTTCCAACAGCGCTTCGGGTCGTTGATTTGGACTCATTTGGGCTCGGATTGGGTCGAATTTTGTGTCGTTGGGTTCGTATTTCTGAGACGCTCAGTTTGACTATAAGTTTACAGAAATCGGAATTCAAATGCTCCCAATTTTAATTTCTAAAATTTCCAACTTGATTTTTCTTTGAGATTCGTGTCTGATCAAGATAATTTTTTGATAATGTATCAGTTGCCCCCTTGTTTTCGGATGTCGAAGCTTGCAAAGTCTGAAAATATATATTTGTACTTTTCCAAACTGCTTATTTGAGCATATGAGGTAAATCGAACCTTACGACCCTAATTAGATAATAATGTATATACTCAAGTATTTCGATAACTATCCTTAATTATGATAGTTATGACATCATACATTTATACCTAATATTATGATATTTAAGTCCCGAATATATTATTAAGTGATCAAATCACGACTAATATGATTAAATATATGTTATCGGTTATACATGATATAGGTTATGTGTTATATCTATTATTAAACTTTTTATTCAATATTGAACATGTAGACATATTCAGTTCATCTCTTGATACTTAATTGATAACTTGTAATAATTTATTAATATATTAATTGATAAAAATTGTAAAAGCAACCGTCTTATTATATATTAATATTAACTTTTTATTATTATTATAGTATGCTTTTTGACTTTACAAATTCCCAAAATTCAGAAATTTCTGAAATAATTTTTTAAATTCCTCTATTTAATTAGCCTTTTATCATGCCGCTCGGGATTATAGCATTTAATTCCCAATGTTTGAATTATTGCCACCACTTGACTTTTAGCATTCTCAAGATTTATATATTATATTAATAAGCTATGAGTTATATCAATTAGCAATTGTCTCTTAAAATTCCCAAATTATTTATAGAAATTTCTAGAGAGACTTTTCATCTTCCCTTCATGCAACTATAAATACCCCCTTAAGAGTAAGGAGAAAATCACAATCTCTTGTGCCGGTCCAAGTCTTCTCCTTGGATTGGTAGCTCGGGGATTGTCAGTGGTGATCAAAACCTTACTCTCTTGTGCCGGTCCAAGCATTCCTCTGGATTCGTAGCTCGGGGAGTGTAGGTGGCGATTGAAGCGAACATTGGTGGCGATCAAAGCCTAGATCTCTTGTGCCGGCCCAAAATTTTTCTTTGGATTGGTAGCTCGGGGAGTGTAGGTGGCGATCAAAGCAAACATTGGTGGCGATCAAATCCTAGCTCTCTTATGCCGATCCAAAATTTTCATTGGATTGGTAGCTTGGGGAGTTGTTGGCATTTGTTAGTCTTTTTCAAAATTGGAGACAAATATGACTGATAATTCCAAATCTAACAATTAGCGAAAATCCTTGGATATAGCATCAAAAAGGCCTCCTTCCAAAAATATGGAGAATACTTCTGATAATAATATTTTGATTTTCTTTGCACAAGAGTTTTGATATCTTATCAAAAACTAAATTTCTTTTGGTGGAGGATTGACGGATGCCCTAAGAAGTATTCATTCTGCTAATGATGGTGATAGGAGGAGATCTGATGATGTCGCATCCATCACTACGTCTGATAGCTTGGCAGCAATTCGCAATAAATTTCACGTGCCGAATGACGTGTTAATTATTGCTCCGAAGAAGACCAATATGGCACATGCTCCTCCACAAGGATTTGTAGCAATATATGAGATGACGCTACGTGCTGGTTTGAGGTTTCCTCCAACACCCGAGTTACTCAAAATTTTCAAAGCATGCTGTGTTGTCTTACCGCAATTTTTATGTTGAGCAATGACAATTATAATGAGCTTGATAGTATTTTTTAGGGAACGTAGAGCAACACTAACCGTAGAATATTTATCCAAAATGTGTAAATTTACAAGTGATTCTTATGGTCGGATTTCATGTCGAGCCAATAAGAAATGGTTGGATTTTGTAACGAGGGACCCTTCAAAGAATTGGTGTAACTCATTCTTTTTTGTGAAGAATGAGTGGGGTCTTCCTGGAAAATGGGATAAATTGAAAGAGTTGCCAAGTTCTTTACATGTAGGAGAGGAAGATATTTTGAGAATTTTGAATTTTCCCAACACGGAAAGATTTCAACAGGAACTACGTTATATCAGTCGATGTGTGGCAGAGAAAAGTCTTTTTAAAGTTGGCCTCTCTATTAAGGCAGGAAGATCCCATGTAACTAAGTTGAAAAAATCTGAGAAGGTTCGTGAAACAACTCCTACTGCTCTTAAGCGTTCAGCAAGTCATCCTTCAGAAGGTCAAAGAGTAATCGATTCCTCCTCCCTAAAGAAGAGAAAAAATAAATGATAAAGCGAACCCACCTGGAGATGATGGGGGAAGCAAGGAAGCTGCACATTTCTTGACTATTGATACAATTTCTCTTAATTCGGATATTGAAGCTCGATCCTCAAGAATACATATCCCAGAAGATGTATTGAAGCATACTTGTAGCGGGCGACGACATGCTAATGAAATCATGAGTAATTTCAATCTCTTTCCTTCTTCTTCTTTTTTTTTTAAAATATAATTAAATTTCTTATCGCAGATGATTCAAAAGATGGATATGGAATCTCGATTTGAATCAATTTTGGATAATTGGAATGATGAATTTGTAAAAGTTAAATATTTACAAGGAGAGTATAAATGATGATTGGATGCAAAGATTAAAGAAATATCATCATTGGAGAGCTAATTGACAGAATGTAGAACTGAATTTATTGAAGGGCTTACCCCAAGTCAAGCATCTGAGGATTCTTCTCCAGATTCGGGCGATGAAGATATTGAAAGTGAACTAGAAAAGGTTCTTTTCAGCGATGATGACGATGATATTGCATAAGATGTTTATTACCGGTTGTATTTCATCTATTTTCTTAGAGATTTTTATATATCCATTTTGTTTCTAGAAATGTATCCTCTGGTATATATATTGATTTTATGAAATATTAAAGTTTTTAATTCTCTTAAGAATTTATGATTCATTTAGTTTAATAGTAATTTTTTTATTTGAAAGAAATAAGAGACATTCTTTTAGGATGTTTAACCTATCCAAGGTTGTGTTGTCAAAGCACTGCTTGATGACATTAACCTGTGTGGATGAGGTTGGATCAAATCCCTATAAGATTGATCATAAAATTTTGAAAATGATGATATATATACTCTTAGGATGTTAAACCTATCCAAAGTTGTATTGTCAAAGCATCACTTGATGACATTAACTCGTGTGGATGAGGTTGGATCGAATCCCCCTGGGATTGATCGTCTGTTGATTGAGATAAAATGAATATTATATTTTTCTAAAATCAATGCTATGCTTAATGTTTTATTTTAGGACCACTTATATTCTCCTGTTAGAGAAGAGGACATAAATGATAATGATCAAGCAAAATTTTATTTTATAAAAGATATTACAAAATTTCATGATGGAAATAGAAAGACTACATAATAGTTCAATTAGAAAATAGTTTTATTAATAACTACTGATAATATTTGCGGAGATTTTCAATATTCCAAGTACGAGGTAGCATTTTTTCGTCGTCATCTTTTAACTTGAATGTTCCAGGTTTGACCATGGATGCCACCATATAAGGGTCTTCCCATAATGGTGATAGCTTGTCACGTTGGGGGCCCTTTCTAGCTGCTTCAAGACTTCGCAGAACTAGATTTTTGACTGAGATGCATTGGGGTTTCACCTTTTGATTGTAATGGCGAGCTATTCGTTGATGATATGCTGCGATTTTAAGGGATGCCATGTCTCTTGTGTCTTGGGAAGAAAATCCAAATTGT